CCCTATTGGGAAATAAGTGATGTGCTTGGAATTCGTCGTCCTAAAAAGCCCAAGTCAGTAAAGTAATTAACGAAAGATAAGTCCAATCCATAAATACGAAAACGAAACACAGTTCGTTGCTGACCTTAATCATTCGGCTTATTCTAAAGACAAACAGATGGATAAAAAGTCCACACCTGAACGTAGAAAGGAGAATCGAGATACTGACCGACCTCACTTTTACCCTGAAAGATTTTATTATTACCATTCTCTGAATGCCTCTTTCGAGGAGGTATTCATACATGTAAGAGACCAGGAGGTCATCCGTCGACCTCAACCCATTAAGAAAAACCTACCTGGAACGAATCGACAAAGGTACTACAGGTTTCATAGACAACTGCTTAACACATGGATAACTGTTGGGAACTAAAAGAGCAGATTGATTCATTGATCAGACTAGGTCAATGAAGGAAATTTCTATCCAAATTGAATAAAACAACTCATATTGCTCATGTCCTTCAAATTGATCTGCCACCTGTTCTGCTAAGTCAGCCAAGCAGAAATCCCCAAGCAACCTGGCGAACTTAGAATGATTCAATTTTTTAGAAAATGATTCCTAATCAGTAATGCAAAATCAAAGCGACACTTTGGTTATAAGCATGCCCATTGTCGAAATTCATGTAAGAAGAACCCTCATGGATAATGGAAGTTTCGTCAACATGTTGTACTCGAAGACCTTGAAAAATGGGAATCGAGGAAAAGTATCTACATCCTTACCATAGAAGGCTATAAGGCTTTTTTGGAGACACTGTTGAAGCCCGAGGTTAGATCACCTTGATGGTCAAGCTTGGTGAAATACCCTGCTAAAGGAGAATCATTGCTGATTTTGTGACCGTCGACCTACCATCCAACTTTAATGCCATCCTAGGATGACCTATACTCCATGAGCTAAAGGCTGCAACGTCCTTTTATCCCTATTACATAAGTTTCCTACCTCCCACGGAGTAGGTATAGTTTGAGGAGATAAAGCTGAAGCTCGATACTATAATATTGACCTGTCTAGCTCAGGGTATATATGTTCCGCAAAGGGCAGTATGACAGATCAAAGGATTCCAGGCTAAAAAGACCTGTCTCCACCAACTTGACTGAAATAAGAATTACTCATAAATATTACAGAAGACTTGAAGACAGCTGCCTGCTAATTAAAGCCAAAGAAGCAAACCCACATCCTTCCTAAGGTGTCCTAATAGTCTCTACCAGTAGCTGGTGGAATCATTCCTCGGGTTCTAATCGACAATGGCAAAGCTAGGAATTCCACTCCATTTTTTTCAACCATACCCAAATATGGTTTTTGAACTTAATGGAGCCTTATCTATGGCAAAAGGACAAATAAAGCTTACTATTGAGGCTTACAGTACAACTTGTTGAGTTCATATAGACATTGATTTTGTAGTGTTTGATCCCACCCCACCTTATGATGGAATCATGGGACACCATTGCTATTTGACTTAAAGGCCATCGTATCGATATATCATTAATCCATTAAGTTTTCCACTTCCCATGGCCCAGGGGAGATTAAAGGGAATAAAGAATCTACTGAAAGGTGTTGTGTTACTCACTGCCTCACAAAAATCGGAGTTCTCCATATCTCATTCCAGCATGAAGTAAATGTGGCCTACCTAGAAGAACATGACCTTAACTTATTAGATCGTAGAATCAAGCTCAAAAAAGGTAGAGCAAAACCTGTAGAAGAAATAGATAAGGTCCAAGTCAGCTAGGCCATACCCCCGAAGGAACTTCAAATTGGATCCAAATTGCAACAACCCCTCAGGTCCGAACTTCAAAAATTTCTTAGTAGCAACTTGGGCGTGTTCGCCTGGAGCCATAATGATATGGAGGAAATTGATCCTACGGTTACTTGTCTCCTGCTCAATATAGATGCTACAACATGGCTAAAATAGCAAAGAATGAGACCACTCAATGTTAAAAGATATAAAGTCCTACAAAAAGAGGTGGAGAAACTGCTTGAAATGGGTTTACCAAGGGCCAACTTATCCCAAATGGGTCGCCAGTCCCGTTTTGGTGAAGAAAAATAATGGAGATTGAATTGTCTCTATAAATCTTACCGACCTTAACAAAGCTTGTCCAAAGGATAGTTTCCCACTACTAAGGATAGATCAAATGGTCAACGTTACAGCTAGACATGAACTTCTCAGCTTTATAAAAGCCTACTCTAGTTATAATCAAATTCCTATGTATGAAGGCTTGTATAGCTACAAGATGATACAGTTTGGCTGCAAGAACGTTGAAACAGCATGCCTAAGGCTTGTGAATTCAGTTTGCCCAACAGATCGACAAAATCATGAAAGTTTAAGTCGACGTATGCTATTAAAAATCACCCAAGTTGAAGATCACATCCAGCACATGTCAGACATGTTTGTAATCATTCGAAAATATAAAATAAAGCTCGACACCCTCAACTGTGCATTTGGGGTCAGCTCCAGCAAATTTTGAGTTACATGGTGAATCACCAGGGGATAGAAGCCAATACAGAATAAAATCGCATTGTCCTCGAAATGACGGCTCCAATTCAACCTAAGGGAATACAAAGTCTCAAAGGCCAAATTGCAGCATTGAGTAGATTTGTCTACTTATCTACTGACAGGTGTGATCCTTTTTTTTGACACACTTGGGGAAGGAAAGAAGTTTGAATGAATTAAAGAATGTCACAAAGCCTTCGAAAAGTAGAAATATGATGATCTCAACCACATCTCCTTTCAAAGCCTAAGGCTAATGAAAAGCGGTCACTATACCTAGCCGTATCTTAGTACACCATGAGCAATATACTCATCAGGAAAGAATGGGGGTTCCAATACCCAGTCTATTACATCAGCAAGGCATTTCACGATGCTGAACTACGTTATTCTCCTATAGAAAAGCTCACTTAAGAACTAGTTAATTTAGCAAGAAAGCTATGACCCTACTTTCTAAAACATCCCATACAAGCCTTAACCAACTATTCTCTAACCCCCAGTACTGCAAAAACTAGATCTCGGGACGCTTGGTAAAATAGGCTATCGAGCTTGACCAATGCAATATATCTTACAAGCCACGAACAGCTAAAGAAGGACAGGCTTTGCCAACTTTGTAGCTAAATTCAACTCTAATCCCCAAAAAGATTTATACAAAGATAGACCTTGGGAGTTGTTTGTTGATAGGTCTTCAACTAAGGTCTGAGCAAGTGCCGAAGTAGTCTTGATTAGTCCAGATTGCCACTATTATCAAGCATTGAACCTCAACTTCAAGGCTTCTAACAACAAGGCAGAGTGTAAAGCATTAATAGATGGCCTTAAAATGGACAAAGAATTAAAAATATCAAGGTTGAGGTGCGCATTGCCTTCCATTTTATAATAAACCAAATCAAAGAGGTCTTCGAGAACTAAGAAGACATAATGAATAGCTATCTGAAAGTTGCCTAAAGAAAATTAAGAAACTTTAAGATGATAGAGGTAAAACAAATATCTCGATTCCAAAACAGTTATATTGATGCACTAACCAGGCTTACAACTAGCAAAAGTGTAAATGAACTAGAGAACGTCCCTTTGGAAGAATTGGATAGCCTGCTATTGAGGAAAATGTTGTGATGTTGATGGCTATAGACCCCAAGCCTTCTTAGATGGATGAGATTCTACAATTCCTAAGAATTGGAGAAAGCCTCGCTGACCTAGCCAAAAAATTGAGGATAAGGTTAGCCTAATATACGCTCTTAGATGGTGTTCTCTACAAAAGGGGATATGCGATCCCATTATTGAGGTGCCTAAATGAAAAAAAAAGGCCTTATACACTTTACAAGAAATTCATGAAGGAATTTGCAAAAATCACACAGGAAGACAGTCCTTAGCTCACAAGATAATGATTTGTACCCATTGTCCAAGCTCCTCCGGAGAAGCTTACAACTATAACCAGCCCTTAGCTGTTCTCGAAATTGGGGTTAGACTTTATTGGACCCATGCCTACTAGACGAGGTGGAACTAAGTTTGCTATCGTCGCCATTAACTACTTTACAAAATGGGCTGTGGTTAAACCTCTTGCAAAGATAACCGAGCACAAAACTATGGACGTCATTTAGAAATCAATTATTTACAGATTTCAGATAATGGAAAACAATTTAACAACACAAGAGCTCAACATAGGATCCCTAGAACTTAACTAGAAGGGGCCACACAAAATCACTAAAATCAATTTAACAACACAAGAGCTCAACATAGGATACCTAGAACTTAAATGGAAAGGGCCACACAAAATCACTAAAATCCTATCTAGAGGATCCGATAAACTCAAAGACATACAATGATGCACTTCTTGCACCAATGGAAAGTAGAACACCTCAAAATATTATCAGTAGTTGATGGATTGTACCTCATTGTATAAAAAATTTGAATAAAATGATCTTTATGATAGTCACCTCAATCTCGCACGACACTTAAACAAAATTTCATGGAAATTCTAGATGAGCTCTTTAGCTCAACAAAAGCTTACCCCAACTGAAACACTTAGCCCAATTTCCAACACAAAATTTCAAACCCTGCTCCTCTGTAGCATGAACTAAGGTTGTACGTGCTACAACTCTTAGGCAAACTTTCGTGGAGATTTCGAATGAGGTCTTCAGCTCAGCTAAAGCTTGTCTCAGCTACAATACTTAGCCCAATTTCTAACACAAAATTCCAAAGCCAACTACTCAGCAGCACGAGCTAAAGTTGTAAATGCTACAACACTTTGACAAAATTTCATGAAAATTCTGGATGAGCTCTGCGACTCAGCTATAGCATGCCTCAACTATAACCGTTAGCCCAATTTCCATCATGAAATTTCAAAAGTCTGATTCTCAGCAACCTGGGCTAAGTGTAATGACACTTAGACAAAATTTTGAGAAAATATAAAATGAGCCATCCAGTTCGATCCGAGCTAAGTTTGCCTCAGTCAAAACATTCAATTGAAAATCCATAGTAAGAGATAATAACTTCAGTCATAAACAATTTGTGTACTCAGCCAAACTACCTTTTATAACAAAAACTTAAATAATTCCTTGAACAACATCGAAGCATCAAAATCATACAAAAACTTCAAAAATGTTATAAAAGTGTTTTTTCCTCAAAAAGAAGATGCTAAAATAAGGTAAAGATTGTAAAGGGATCTAAACCCTCTAAATAGCTGAAGGTTGCGCTACTCTGAAGCAACTTCATCATCTTCTTGAGCCCCGGGAGCCAGCCCAGTCATGTCAACCAGAATTGCCTCCGAACGAGATAAAGCTTCACAAAGAAAGATGATGTCCAAGTCTGGAACTTTCGTCTCCATAAAACTAATTAGCTAATGGATGGCTACCATATATACCTCTTGATTATAAGCTTAACCCTTAGGGAAAGCCTTCCATCCATCCATAGCTAAAGTCATCCTAGCTGTTAGATCACTCAATGTTTCTCCATTTTGATTTTCTTCACCTCTTCAGCCATTTTTCTAATATGTTTGCTCCAACTCCTTTTTGAGGCGGCCCTCCTTTACCGTGACTTCTTCCACCTTCTACTCTAACTAGGACCTAGCAGCAGCCTCACCTTCCAATAATGTAGTCAGAGCAGACCTCTCCTCATTCCACTTCACTTCAACCTCTTCCAAACGAGCCTTTTCCTTCTTAAATTGGTTCACTTTAGTAGCTTCTTCCCTTATATTTTCAATGGCCTCTACCTCAGCCTTTACCTATAATAGGACGTAGAAGAAAATAAGCTTAGAATATCATTCAATAATCAAGAAAGCACGAAAGAAGAAAGTTCCACCTTATCTGAAACCACCAATAAATAAAGTATTGACCTTTGAGCATGGATACTAGCAATAATGAAGGACTTCCTTGCACTCATTTGAGCCAAATATCTCTAGCAACGATCATTCCAATTCCTAGTAATAAAACGAATTAAGTTTCAAAGTGGTGGAGGAAAAGTTGATGTGAAAGCCCTAGCAGGTGAAGGAGCTTTGTAAAAATTGAACAAAGCCTTAAAACAAGTACCAACCAAACCATCTAAGTTTGGCATTGGAAAGTCTGGATAAGAGGCAGCTGGAGAAGTAGTTGGAGAACAAATTAGAGGAAAAATCACAAGGGACTAGAAAAGAATTGGGCGAATATGCTCAACCCAGCTGGAGAAGATAAAGGTTACTGAGTTTGTGGAAGCTTACCTTCGTATGAGCTCACCATGGAATGACAAGCTAAACGAGCTTCTGCTTGAGTGTTCGGCCTCTTCTTCTACCCTCTTGGGGATTATAACTTTGGCACATCGCACTAAAAGACCTTATCTCAACATTTGACTTTGAAAGACAGAAACGTAGATTTGTTGAAATACATAAAGGCTGAAATTTCAACAAAATTCAACTCTTACCTAGGGTAGAGGGAATGTCGATCGCAAAAAGACCTGCTCAAAAGAGGTTGTAATCATTAATCAAGATAGTGCAGGACCTCCACTGGTGAGTAAGAGCTCTAATAAAGTTCAACTTACTCTCAGGTTAGGAGTAATGGTGGCTCGATGGCATGTTGTTGGTATATAAGCAATCAAAACCACCCCTTTTATCACAAAAATAAGGTAAAAAATCCAACTTACTCATTTTTAGGTAACAAATGTGAACCACTACATCCCTTTCCACTTCAGATGAGTGGAGCTGCCAATCACCATGGATGAAAAAAAACTCTTCATTCCACTTCTTAGTAGTAGAAGTGCTATCCAAACCACTAGACCTCTCTGGTTTGGATACATGCTGGGATAGTACCAACCCGAATCTTTTCCATCCTCTTTGAAGTTATGCAAGGCATTGAACTCCTCAATAGTCAGCTCAGGGAACCTAAACTATTTCATAGCAACATACAACTAAAGAAAGCCCTCCAACCATTGAGACGGAGTTGAGCAGGTACAATACGCCAAGCATGCGAAAATTTATGGATGGTAGGGAAAAATGGTAACTTAGGCTAGAAGACAGCAAAGAAAGGTTAAGGATAACCCCATCCATCAAAGAGTCGTAAGCCTGTTGGTTAGGTAAGAGAGTGAGAAACGCTACTGAGCCAGGAATATGGTAGGTCCTTCACCATTGCTTCAAGTTCCTCACTGTTACATAAGATGCGATACCCCAAAATTCTCAATTAACCTATAATCCGACCTCACTACCTCCATCAACAACTACCTCCTCGATGCTCATATCTCTATGTTCACCTCTGGATGAACTGCCGTAGTCTCAGATCTGTAAGGAGTACCCCTCCTAGTGACAGGTCAGGAAGCCTCCCCCCCCCCCCCCCCCCACACATAAGAAGGTAGCCAACGAGATTGGAAAAGACACCTCTATTTCTTTAGAGCTGGGCTCAAGTAAAGATAAGGATGTCAACGAGTCGAGTCGAGCCGACTCGCAAGTAGAAACTCGAGCTCAGCTCAAGTAAAATGTATGAGCTTTTCTCCGAGCCTAAGCTCGGCTAAAAAAATTAGGTTCAATCCGAGCTTTCGGCAACCGGGCAGGCTTGCTTATATCTTTGCTCTTTTTTTTATATTAATAAGTTGCCTTAAAAAGCAGCATTTTGCTGCCTTTTAAGGCAGCCAACTACGACTGCCTTTTAAAAGGATTTTGCTGCCTCCAAGTGGGGCCTTTCTGGTTTTTTTGTTTTCAAGTCAAGTCATGGGCGGCCTAAGTCGACGAGCCGAATTGTCATCCCTAGGTAAGGATTCGCTAGGGGAACAGACTCTTAGTTGTTCACCCAGGACTAAAGTCTACACTTGTCAGAACTCATTTTGAAAATTTAGGTTTGGAAAAAAAGAAACAGGTGAAAAGGGCTAAAAAATGTTGAGAGAGAAAAAGTTAAGGACATAGAAATAAGATGGAAATGGAGGGACAAAAGGTGTATTTAAAGAGGAAAAATTTCAAAGCAATCCAGTCCGTACCATTAATGAAAAAGCTGGAAGAAAAATGACAGTTATTGATGCATTTATGGGGAAACTTTCCCCAAAAGCTATCGTGGGAAGGAGAAAAAGGTTTTTGTAGTCACCCTCTTTCCATGCTATTTGATAAAGGTCCAAAAATTTATTTGTTATAAATTTTGGACCGTGGGGGATATTTTTTGACCTCCATCGATTTACTAGCTTATTAAAGTAATTAAACCGATTTAAGTTGAGTTTAAATATCATGAAATGGTTATCATGATAGAGCAGAAATCCCAGTTTAGTTCTGATCAGCTCGGAACAACTTTCAGTTCAACTTGACTTATCTTCAAAAGGAGGAAAACATCACGGTCATTTGGGGAACATCATTATTACAACCTGATCTCCCTCACTCCAAGGCTAACATCATACCTTTATCCAACCCAATCACTTGAGGACACATGGCAAATATCATGGGGCACCTCAAATTGTGACAATCACTATTTTGTAATGATTATTTCCCACCTCTACTCCATCATGACACGTGGGAGCCGAGCTCAACAAGCAATCAAAATTAAATCAACGACACACACGTTAAGATCAACACTGTAGCTGATATGATGTAAAGCATTCGAATTTGCCTATTTCTTGCTATAAATGGGACTATAATGGTCCCCCATAGGGACGGGACCCAACAAGTATACGAAACTCACTTTCAAACTCTCTCCATTCGATACAAATTACTCTTTTCTTATTGTTTTAGCAGATTTTGTTTATATGTCAGCATAATTTACCTATTTCAGCTCAAACTATTTCTTCTAAATCATCAATTAAGTTGACAACAAGTGAGCGAGTCATTTTTTGACGTCAACATATTTAATTCAATATCGTGTGAAGACTTGTGATAAAAGATCCATCATTCACCAACACATCCAGTACGAATTACTATTTTTTATTTTGACAAGTCAAACTAGTTTTATATTTATGTCAGACAAATCAAATATCTTATATAGCTGCCACATTTTTACATAAATTAAGACAAGTGGGTTGTCTATGTACGTTTTAAATGGTAATTATATCGTGAGGACGAGTTATAACAACACAAAATATATATTACTGCACAAATATAGTAAAGGAACGAAACGCATTGGAATGCATCTATTTAAAGTTCAAAAAAAGCACACTTTAGCTTTGGTATGTTTGGAGTTGAGAAGATAATTTTGAGTAGCCATAAATGAAGTCTCATGCGAAAAAAATTGAGCCTTGAAAAATTATTAAATTAAAAAATAAGAAAAAAAATACACCCCACAATCACATGAAATTTGTCAGAAGGATAACAACTCCTATTTCAGAAAGTAGGGTACCATAAATCTTATTTTTTAGTTTTGAATTTGGGTAATGTTATGCCGGATTGCAATGTGACCGTCACGTTGAGTCTTCTTTGTCTAATGTTCATAAACTCACTGTAAACAATGAAATCACTTTTTTATTATAAATTTCGTGAATTTTTTTAATGATGTCTACCAGGGCCGGCTCTAGAATTTTAGATGCGCCGTGCGACATTTTAAAATGGTGCCCCTCTCATGTAATAAAAAATATATTATAAAAAACTAATTCAATAACATCATTTCATGACAAAAATATGACACTAATATTTTGTTTATTTTTACATATTGTGAATAAAAAAATATAAATAAAGCTTAAAATCATTCTCCGAACTTCATCAAAATTCATATGTCATCAACAGAGAACCATCCAAACTATTAATCTCTTGGTACAATTTCACATGAGCAAACTTTGAAATCAAAAATAGCCAGTACCACATGTAAATCTTGAAATACAACAAATCATGTAAAAATATTTGTTCTAGCATTTTTAGAAACAAACTCACTAATTAAACTTTCATAATCAATATGTTTTAACAAATCTTTTTTAATAAATATCAAAACTAGCATATTCAATCAATCTTGTAACATGATTGATTGCAAATAAGATTTTTATAGCTTTAGTTTTGAAGAATATTTTTCGACAAATGCAACAATAACAATAATTGTCAATAGTATTATGTAAGTAATAAATATATTCAAAAAGCAATCCAATCTTGTCAAATAAGTCAATATATCAAAAGCTAATTTTGTTTCTTTTGGTAAAAAAAATCGCAAAAATCACCCAACAAAAACTTACCCTTCTAGAATAAAAATAAAATAAAATCATGAAATAGCAATTCACAAGTGGACTCGTTCTTGTAACATGGTTGATCGTAAATAAGATTTAATAACATTAGTTTTGAAGAATATTGTTCAACAAATGCAACAATAACAATAATTTTTAATAGTAGTCTATAAGCGATAAATATATTCGAAAAGCAATCCAATATTCTCAAATAAATCAATATATCAAAAGCTATTTTTGTTTCTTCTGGTAAAAAAATTTGCAAAATTTTGAATATAATCAACTATTAGTTAACCAACAAAAACTTACCCTTCTAGAACCCAAAAAAAATAAAAAATTATGATATAGCAATTCACAAGTGGACAACCGGCTCCAATAAATAGATTATACTATTATAGAGCAAGTAATAAATATTGACAATAAAGTTTCTTCTCTTCTTTATTTGACTATTCTTTGTGGGTCAAAGGATGAGAATGAGAGAACTTATAAAAATGAATTTAGTATTAGTTTTTTACTCTCCATTGTAATCATTTGAATTTTGGGCTACTTAATTTTCTTTTTAGGTTGGTAATTGATTAACGAAGCTAATTGGACATTTGATATTAGAACTAGTAAAACAGATAGTTTATAATATCTTTTGAAAGCAAAATAGTTTAGGATTATAAAAATATTTTTTTTCAATATATGTTAAATTAAACATTAATTTTCAATAATATGTTAAATTAAACAAATATTAACATAATATAATTTTTTTTTTCACTCTTTTTTCATAAGTATTGTGCCCTTTAATTTTGTATAATAATAAAAATTTTAAATCTTAAAATTAATAAAAAAAATATGTACCATTATAAATATGTACTTCTACATATATATAGACTTATTCAAAAAAATAAATAAATAAATAAATAATTGGTGCCCTTATAATCCTGAGGCCCTGTGCGGTCGCTTAACTCGAACGCCCTCAGGACCGCCTCTAATGTCTACTTGTTTTTCACTAATTTCAATCTATCTTTAAACTAAACTACTTATAAACACTTCCCAAACGAATTATGAAGGAAATGTTTATGCACTCGTATAATAATTGACTCTCTATTAGTAAAGTGATGGGTGGTAACAAACAAACAATTGGGGAACTGAATATGCAACAAGGTGATAGAGATGTTAAGATGAGTCGAGTTGTTTCTAACGTATATAGTTGCCTAAAAGAAAATATAATTGCGATACAAAATAGATGTCTCATTATTCATTAACTAGACACAACTTAATAGTTTTTCAGTTTCAAATAATCGTTAACACAATTAAGATGCATGAAGAGAATAGACAAGTCAAATTGTGTTGATCTACTCAAAGAACAATTTGACATGTCATGATGTCAATAACTCGGCTCAGACATATTGATCATCCCTTATTTCAACCACAGAAGTTCGAACTCAAACATAATTTCAAACGAAAAACAACTTAAATTAATATCTGACGTACCCCTAGTGCAAATAGGATATCATAAAGGAGAATAGTTCAATCTACATGTAAATGTAAATTGAATGTACCAGTACCTTTCACCTTGGCTCCACCTACATTTCCACTAATTGAAAATCGAAGGAACTCCACAAAGCTTCTCGATCCATGATTCCATGGTCCGTAACTTCTGAGTCTATGATGTACAGAAAATAATATTCAATAAACAAAAAAGTGCTAGTAATATGAACAATACTAAAAGAAATATTTATAAGAGTTTCCTTCTTTGTCTCAAGGCAATCCCAAGAAAGTGATTCAACAATTGACAGTTGTAGCATTTTGGCTCACTCGTCTTTCTTCTTTTTAATCATTTTTTCCCTTTTTATCACGTTTGGGCTTGTTACTTTAAGGTCTATGTCCAATATTCTCTCGTTCCCTTTTCCCCTTGTTCCAATTGTTCATACATTAAAAGCCAAAATTTTGTCGGAACTAGACTCAACCACAAAATCATATCCTAAAGATTTAAATACACCAATTCTCTCATCCTCTAATTCAAAATGGAAGGATCATCAGCAAAAGTTTTGATGCTATCATTGTAAATCCAATTAACTTTTAAATGTTTTTAGTTAACAAGAAGGAGACGGATTAAAGCCTGAACATGCTGCTCATCAGAGACTATGTGACCAGATGACTTCAGCTCTCTGATCATGTTAGATAGTTTTTAAATACTGTATGATGCTATGATCAGGAGATTTATTATAAGC